ACACAGCTGAGTAAACCATAGAGCCTGGCTCTCATGAAGCTAGGATGGCACTGGCACACACAGACACACACATACATACTTGCCTGACAGTATATGCTTTTTAAGGGTTTACCCTTCTCGCCTTCACTCTCTGCCCAGAAATGGCCACCCTGGCCAGCACATTTCTGATAGAGCAGCAGGACTGTCCAGTTATCTACATGAACTTACAGGCAGAGAAAAGGCGGAGAGGTGTCTGTGCTCCTTATTAGCACATACCCTATCAAGTGGGATCACTCCACCCTTGCTGTCCTAGCTCATTCGTCCCCTTACATCTCTCCAGCCCACCCCACACTGCACTCCTAGCAGGCCTTCAGGAGTCTCCCACGATGCACAGTATTTTCTCATTCCTGAGATGGGAACTGGCTATCCCACCATCTAAGTACTCAACAGAAATGGTTCAGAGCAGCATGAGTCATGCTAAGATGGCATGGTCCCTTCTGATCTCTCGCCAACATCTTCTGCAGACTGACCCACCCACACCAAGCATCTGTCTATGAAAAGTTCATCTCGTGGGAAGGATGTACAAATGCACTTTCTTGCTGCAAAGAGGGCTGGCTTCTTAAGGGTAGAGATACAGGATCTGGATGTGAGCCCAAGCAGGGTGGTACAGATACCCATGGCACCAGCCTCATGCTGAGAATGTCCCTCTGTCCTCTCCATAGTCATCATTGTCTGCCAAGGGTCAAAAGAGCCAAACTGCCTCTGCCAGCTCCTTCTAGAGTTGACTCAGCAGGAAGGAGCTACTAAAATATCAAATCCAGTGCCAGCTGAATGAATCTGAAAGGAATACAGTGCTCATCTAAGTTTCTCCAGCCCAACTCTGGCACCCTAATGGAGAGGTACAACAGCGAACACAGCTGGCCTTGCCACGCTTGGAGCAAGTACAGGTGTATGTAAGGAGGAAAAACATTCTTACATTAAAAGTACACTGGAAATACCTACCTCCTATCATGCACAGATTGGCACTAGAGCCCAGTCCACTTCAGTGCTCTCAAGACTAGCCTATTGCAGTATGGTCCAGCAGTGGAGGCAGCGGAAGGAGCTAAGGAACAGGAAAGAGGGCTTCAGGAGAAAACAGCAGCTTTGCAAGCAGCTTTGTTTTCAGCTGTAGGGCAACTGGGACAATCTGAAGGGGCTCTAAGCACATGAGGAGTACACACACATTGGCTGTTTCAGAACACAGGAGTGGACAGTTCTCAACTGCAGCCCCACTAGTTACACCATTAGGGTCAAGTTAATGTAACAAAGATGATTTGAACTATTACTTAGTGATATTACTTAGTGATATTACTTAGGTGATAGTTTGAGAATGACATGTTTCAACTTGAGAGAGGAGCAACTCCAACAAATTTAAAATACAATAAAACTGAAAAAAGATAGATTACAAAGCTTCAAGTTTCACTTCAAACCAGCAGAAAGAAAGCCACATTTTCAACTATTTATCCAACAAAAACCATAGTATATTATTGAAGGCAATGCTTTTTATTACTGAAAATATAATACATTACATAGGATTATAATTGCATGTGTATACTGTAATTTATTTCTCTGTAGTACAGTTGCATCATCTAGTGGACAACACAGAGATTGCATTAGTTTTACACTAGTTTTACACAACTTAGTTTAGGATTCATTGAGTATCTTTGCCTTCCCACTGAACATAGCTTATTGCAGCACTCTCTCAAACTTAATTCTGTAATTATAGATATCCACTAAAACATTCAGTGGAATGAACTGGAAGTGTTTGGAGTTTTTTCCTTTCACATCCAACCTGCAGCAGATTGATGTTACTTAAGCTTTGTTAGACAGGGATAAAATCAAGTTCTTCTAAGTTGAATTCAGCCACTGAGCTGCAATTTCTCTGATTTTGTACTGAAATTATAAAAATTATGAATTTCACACGGTTCAGCTCCAACTGCTGGTCAAAAATGAGGGAAACAACTTCATCTTCTTTCATCCTTCCCTCATGAAGATTTCCCTCAAAAATCTCGCAACAACTTCTATTCCTATTTATTGCATAAAGAAACCCATAAAGTTCTGTTGGGACAATTTCCCTGTGTTCTAGAGTTCATTGTCTTCATTGCTGTAGCTACAGATGTGCTGAGTACAAACAAACACTTCAAAGTATGCTAAAGTGTGGCACTTTGAAAAGTGTATTCTTTACCTTCTAGGCACAGAGGGCTACATACCCTTTGAGACACAATTTTTAAAAGCTCCTTTCTTTGGGAATGTCATCTTTGAAATGTTTTCATAGTGTACCTAAAAGCTTTAATTATCAGGGTATGAGAGCTGATACTGCCTTATCTTGTCCTGAAACAGACAGGTCTGAAGGCACTTAGCAATGATGGATGATCTCCATTCACTACAGCTGAGGAAAACTGTAAACTGGAAGCCACTCTCTCTGGAAGATCAAAGAAAATCCATGCTGTATTTACATAAATTGACACAGGAAAGACACTGTCGTGAGGTTTCAAGTTTGTCATTTTTCAATGACTTCAGACTGCACTAAATCAACTGCCCCTCCTCCCCCCCAAAAAAAATAATTTCAAGCTGTGCTATTCCTGTCTCACTCTCTTGTTACAAGAAATAAAACTTCTCATTGCACTTATCTAAGCCCAGTGTGTTCACTGCAGTCACAGAATGAATTCCTACTTTAGCTCTTTTTTAGTAACACTGCATAAGGTGGAAGAGAATCTAGCTCACTGCCATGGCCAAGTTTGTATCCCTAATGATAAAAGCTGGGGTTTATTCCTACTATTGCTGAGATTTGCAGATACAATCTGAAAGGAAATTTATACAGAGGGAAATAAAGTATGTCTTTCCACAATGAGATCACAGCTAAGTCCCTTCTTAGACTAACAGAAAGCCAGAGTCAAACATTAACAGCACGTCACCAAAACTAAGCGATTAAGATACTTGCAGCTCAGTGGGGCTCTAGTTACATTAGAGGCTGAGAGCAAGCACCTTCACTCTTTGAAAACTTGATTTAGTGTTCGTGTAAGACAGCTGGAGAACACTCCCAGTGCAGTTACGTTCTCAGGCTCTTAGCCCACCTTAGGATGTCCTGTCTTGCACATAGTTTAGGTTTGATTCAAAAAAGAATTTAAGCTTTTTCTTACTAGGCATATATACACATAAATGCTGAATCAAGACCTGTTATTCTGGTTTATTTCTGTTAAAACTTTATTGTTATTGATGTGCGTTCGAAAGCACTAGTTCCAGTTCCATAGTTTATTCAAGCAGGATTTTGCCTTTGACATTAAACACACATGGGTCTATTCAGAACACTTGCCACATGGCTTAAGGTAAAGGTAGGGGCTTACCGCTGTGCTTTCACGCAAGAGACAGACAAGCAGGTCATACTGCCTGCTCTCCTGCGCTGCCAGATCCCCTCCCTACACCCTCTGGAGCATGTGTAGGAGTTACACAAGTAGAGTCCATATTCAAACCAGCTGGTATAAATGCGTAGTGTATAATGCTATACTGAAGCAAATAAACTAGTATCCACGGTGCAAGACACTATGTACATAAGTTTTCCTGAAAACAGCCATCTCCAGGATAAAAACCAAACCCAAACAAAAAAAAAAAAATAATCCAACAACCAAATATCCTTATCTTCTTTAACTCTGGCACCATCTCATTATAAAATTATTACATGTGAAACACATATGCTCTCACAGAATGAAAAAGTTCTTATTAAAAAAAAGTGAGAGGTCAAGCAGTTCAACTGTAATCAACAAAACTGCAGGACATGTTCAAAAACACATCCCACTAGCCCAGTGCCCCATTTCCCAAATTGTCCATCCTTGAAGACCTTAAAAGAGCAAGCACAGGTCAAGCATTTACAAGACTTGCCATCAATATTCTCCCAAACTTGAACTGTTTTGAGATCAGGGGACTACATAAGACCAAAGTTGGCTGCTGGCTGGTAACTGCCAATAGCTGCTTGTTCTGTGTATTACGTGCTCTGTACCCACGCCAACTTTTATATCCATATCCCTTATTAAAATCAATGGATGTTATCACATTCTGGTAGTTTTGAACCTGAGTTCTTCCAGCTGCTTCCTTTGAAAACCCTTACTTCTTGCACTGTGAATGCTCACTCACAATCCACCCTCTCCATGTCACCCGTGACTTCTGCAGACCTTTTTACGGATCTAATAAAAATGAATTGGCAAGCCTCAGCCCTTATCTCTGCTGCAGACAGGTTCAGTGGTACAGAAGGACCTTCATTAAGCTGATGGAATTGCTCTTGGTGAGATTATTAGAGACTGTATCCCCAGATCTAGAAAGGCATCTCACCCCAAGAAGTACTTCAGAATGGAACTGACTAGACTATAAAACATGGTGTTAAGTGACTTGGAGGGATTAAAACCACAGTTTAGGCAAATATCAGAGTAAATTGGCCCAAAAGATGGAATAAATGTGCATCTAGCTCCAGAAAACACATCAGTTCCTCTCCCAACCCATTCACCCTGCCCTCTGCTCTGAAACGTAAAGCACCAACACACTGTCAGCATCTCCATATGAACAATATAAGAAAGCCTGACTGCAAAAAAGTCTCGGTGCATTGCGGTAAACAAGGCAGAAAAAAAAGCCTATTTTCAGAACTTCCTAATCCTAGGAAGAGCTTATGAAGATGAAACCTGAAAACCAAGAACTTCTGGGTTGGAAACTGAGTAAACAGCAAACAGTTACACTTTTCAGTTCCCACAGAATTTTGAAGCTAAACCAGCATACCCTTGTAGGTAAGGAAGAACCCTTCTCAGAGCTCCAGGTATCACAGCATTTCCTGTCCCAACAGAGACAGAAAAAAAACATGGAATACTCAAACCCAAGCAAGTTTACACAATAACATTCTTGTTCACAAGATACCAAAGAAAGTCTGAAAGTGCATGTGAATACCTAAGTTTCCACCTGTATTTTTCCTTAAGTTAGATTATCTAGAATGCCTTTACTGCTGTATACAATTTCATTTATTTCAAAAACAGGTCTTGTAGAAAATGAAGCAACATACATACAAAAATTAACACTTACAAACATAGCTCTTAACAAATGCTAAAAACAGTAATGAAAAATTCTACGAAATATGATTCCCCACAAAATGGAAAATAATCACAACACAATCACAAAGTAAGTTTGTACAGCTTAAATAAAGCTCCTGCCCTCAAATGTGTTTTGAAGAAGTCTCTCTGAACGATGTAGGGAGCTCAAGCTTCCTACTTAAGTAGAACCAATGCTGAAAGGCAGCACATGAAACCATCCCCTTATAAACAGGGTAGGAACATTTCTCAGTGTGATCATCAAAAACAAATGGAAACAGAACTAATTGCCTGGGTGGTCTTCCAAACAAGAAACAGAGTTCAAAGTGATATATCCTTTCAGTTCTCATTCTCAGCAGGAGGAGCCAGAATATGAACTAGTGAGTCTGGAGGGAGCTTTGAGTAAAGGAGGGAAAGGTAAAGGGGAAAGGTAAAGGACAAGAACAAGACAAATATAAATGGCTCTGTCCTCTTCCTCTCTGCCAAGTGCCAGATACATGCTGAGGGGTATCTGCTTGACCCTGTGATCCATACTTTAGTCACACAGGCAGCTGTAAAGTCTAGGACTGCTCAAGCCCACAATCCTAGGGCTGCTCAGATTACCCCAGAAACCGTTCTATTCACAGCAGCCATAATTTCAGTGAGATATGATGAAAGCCACCTGTGCTCTCCCCTACCATTTGGGCTAACCTTATGTATTACTGAAGAAGGTCAGTAAAGAGCAAAATAAAGAGAGAGTCCTTTGTGACCCTGTAATCAAAACTAAACATATTTTGATGATTTGTACATTATTCTTTGCTGTTCAGGACCACTAAAACAGTTCAGCAATGCACATCCATGGCAAATGACCTCCAATCAGTCACAGGTCCAGATGGGTCAAGTTGTTGCCATACTCAAGCTACAAAGACTCTCAGCTGATTTTTGTAGTATCTTCAGGTTTTCCAAGTGCAATGCTTCTACCAAAGCCAGGCACGTTTGCAGGTTCTCTTTGTTCCTTTTCAACTGGGAAATCTGAATTTTATATAAATGAGATGAAATTACCAGAAATTTAGATTATTTAATACTGGACATGAATATAACATTTGTGAAAAGCTTATCCCTCTTAATGATTTCATGAACTATGCCAAATAGTATTTTTTTTAATAAAGGAAGCAGATGGAAAACAAGGAGAGGAAGGGAAGGGTAATGTTTATCTGATACCATGCTCTTAAGCCCATACTATCCTCAAGATGCTGCACAAGACCAGGTTCACCTCATACTCTCTGCATAGATGCATTTCCTTTACGAAAGTGTGGTTTTAATAACCTTTTTACATGATAGCTATTCAACTATGACATTAAGTACACGTTTCATTGCCAGAATTCGAAAAGGAAAGAGAGACTTTTTCTAACAGCACAGACCTCCCTCACAGAAGTAGTTCATTTGACTTTAATGAACACAGACTTCACTTTCTGCAACAAGGTACTCGTGGCAGGTCTGCAATATCTTATGTGCCCATCTCATACAAGTCTGCATTTTCTTTTAAGAGGTAACCTCAACAAACCCAATGATAATGTAGGCAGAGAAAAGTTAAATACTTTTCACTTGTTCACAGGGCTTTCTAATACGGTTCCTTTCTTTGCTGCAGCCACAAATTCTGTCAGTCAGCCTGGAAACAAATTCTACACCACCTCAGTGTAGTCAATTCCCTCTGTCACTTGCTATTCTCGCCCAAAAAAAATTACACTGCTGTACATTTATGTTAGGAAAGAAAGCAATCTGGACTACTTTGCTCTTCCAGTCAAATTACCTGGAGAAGGACGTGCTGTGTCTCCTCTATTAAAAAATGGCATATTTTTGCTGTTATATTCAAAGTCTGCTGTTCATTTCTGGCTGAAATTACATCACCAAGGAGCGTTCTCCTCCAGCAATTACTAGAACCAAAATGTTTAAACACAATCATTTGCTGTATTCCCCAGCTCAATGATAAACATATGGTTAATATAACATCACTGGCACAGGCAATTAAGGTGAAATACGTGAAAAAGGCACACAACATTCAGCTATGAGAGTGATGAGGCATGTAAAAGGGAGGGGAGATTTAATGATCTGGAGCAGTGATACCAACCTTCCACCCCCACCCTTTCAGCTAAAGACACAGCCTGCAATTAGGCCAATGCTTCTGGTCTTCACTGCTCTGCCATGCTGCCATCAACTTCAGCAGCACTAGTGAGGAGGAAAAGCTATTCACCCAGAACTTATTAGCATGGCTTCTGCTAAACTTCACGTCACCTAGGCTTGTAACCAGTATCATGGGGATTTATTTTCAGTTCTTATAATCAACTTATTCCACTCGGCAGTGAATCTTCAAAGCATAAACATCTTTGGACAAGACAAATTGTTTGATTTACTATTACAAGCAAATCCCAGGTAAACATTTTTGAGGCAGATTTGCCATTGGGAACAAATGATCAAACTTGCACTGACAGTCACTGGAGATGAACTTCAGCAACTTACTTGGCCTTAAAATTTAAGACGCAGTCTGTGGAACACATGCTTCAAAGAAATCAAGAAAGGTCAATAGCATTTAACGTCCCATCAAACCAGAGAGAAGGTCTGGAGCATGAACCTTAAAGTAATATCTGGTTCTCAAAATAGAAAGGGAAAACAGTGGGGTGTTTGAAGACAGCAAAAGACCAAAGCAGCAAATAGACGATGACTTTACATTCTGTGGTGTTCTCTGCCTTTCTTCTTTTCTCTTCTCACCTGAAGTCAATGAGATAGATATAGGAGATACAAAACAATTGTCCTGGTATCTCACACACAGCCAGCAAAGAGCAAATAAAAGGAAAATGACACATGAACATTGTTTAAATATTCCAAGTACTGAAACTTACAATTCATCTGCACCAAGACACAGCAACTTGAGAGCAGTAAGGAGTCTCCAAGATGGTCCATCCCATCCAAAGGTCAGGTTTCTAAAAAGTCAAAAGGAACTAGATTCAGAAAGTATAGGTGGTCTTTGACAGCATGATAGCTTTCTTATTGATAAGTGTCAGGAAGAGATCTGCTCTTCAGAACTCGAGGACTCCTTGACTCCCCTTACTCTGCTGTTATCCACAGACAGGTGACTGGCTGCATCTTGAAACCTATCTCAAGCTTTGATATTGGTGTTTACTACTTCTACATTCTCTCACAAACAGCAAGTAAATCAGTTTGTTTTAAAAAAATATTATTTTATGTTGAATTTTGATAGTAGAAGCAAAATTTGACTCCCAGAAAAAACTCATAGGGAAACAAAAAAACTTCAGATACCTACTCTAAGAAATCATGATCCCTTAGAATGGAAAGTTTTGCTTTTCTCTGCTTGTCCAATGGTGGAAAATATTTGAGAAGAGTATCTGCATAAAAACATATTTTAGATATTTAAATACATGGTATGTAGAGGAAACCCACAATCCCCAATTCTGAAATGACATTTCAGCCATATTTTTCAAACACCTATAGGCCAAAGATCAAAACCTGCTACAATGTTGGTGAACTTTAACAGAATCAAAAATGTATCTATTACTCAAAAGCCATCAGCAATCTCCAGGATTGTATCCTTATAATGGAAATCATGACTGAAGCTGAAGTTACAAACTACTGTCAGTAACTTTAGTTTATGAGGATCAGGACTTTAATCCTCAAGTTGATGGTACAATCTAAGACATCCAGTTGGAATCTCTACATATATGCTGCTAAGAATTGCAATTTTACAAAAGGAAAAGCTACCAAAGACACTTTAAATTTTGAAACTCCAATTCTACGCAGTTAAAAGTGGTACCAAGGCCTATTCCACTTCTTGGGAATACAAATAGTTTTCATGGTACCTAAAAAAAGAAACCAACAATGCCTTAATATGCATTGTCCATGTTGTGCATTTATGTATATGGATGTGTGCGAATTTCTTCATTATCCTTTAGTTATCCTTTTTCACTGACATCTCCTGTTGAATGCAGACAGTATGAACATGCTCACATGCTCTGTTCTCTACTATTGTGCCTTTCAATGTCAAGACAATCTATAAATCCAACCTGATGAGACATAAACACTGCTATGAGGGTTATCCATGGCAACAAATCCATATTCTAGTAGCAGTCGCTGATTATCATGAGGCCCATAGCAGATAAACACTTCTTCATATCTTTTGCACTGTGAATTTGTCCAAATTTCATAGCTTCTTGTCTGCTCATTAAACGCAGCCTTTACCTTCACAAAGGTAAAAATAAAAGGTCTTACTCTTGGCAGAAGGACAGGGTGAAAAAAGGAATCAGACCTTGAGTATTAAAATCCAACAGTACTGAACACTTCTCTAACACTGGAATAAAACAGATAGTATTACAGATGTCTGAAAAGGCAACCCATTAGTATGAAGAACATACATCAAAACCTTAAACCACAGGGTGTGTCACCAACTCTGTAGACTTATTAGAGAGGCCCCAAATCCACAAATAAACATGGATTCAGGCAGAGTTGGCCGCTTTTGAGCTGTCCCAACTCTGAGCTGGCACGCAGTCCCTGACATGAGGTAGGACTGCTCTATATACTTTCCTGAGGCTGCTCAAAGGCTTCAGCCAGAGGTGAAGTAACTCAGGGACCACCTAACTTCAGATTCAGGAGCTGAGCCTTCTGGAAGAGGAGGGTAGGGTTATATTTACCAATAGCTCTTCCATATAGCTACTCTGGATGCAAATCTCGCCCAGCCGTTGTGGGCTCTCCCTTTAACTTTGCTTTGCTACGTAAACTGAAACATTTGAATCACCTTTATTCAACTACCTTGGGCTGAAAAACAAGCTCCAGGGTATATACTATAATCGTGAGTACTCAACCTGCACACGTCCCCAGTAGACATTTTTCCCACTACGAGATCCCTCACAGACCCTCCTAATCCATCACCTAATTTCATACTGTACTGAGATAGTGCATTTAAAAATAAAGAATGCATTTACAAATAAAGAAATTAAGTGATCTGTTTTTAGTTTCTTACCTGAACATTTGGACTGTGGTTTAGCAAATCTAAATATGGTGCCAAAGCATAAACATCTGGATCAATAGAAAAACATTCCCTCTGTGAATGTTTCATGTATACTGTCCTGGTATTAACAGTGCACCAAGCCCACTCTAGAGCACTATAGTTAAAAATAGTTTCTGTGTTCTCAGCAAACAAAGGCTGCAGGGAAGAGAAGAAAGCCTTGGAAGACACGTACAACTCATGGACCATCGTTCTCTGCTCTTGAGCCTTCGTTCTTAGAGGTTCAGGGAGAAGGCTTACTGCATCATGCTCCAAACAAACAGGGCAAGTATATGTCTTCGGTAAAACATCAAGATATGGCTTCCATGGAGATTTTTCACCAGCATGTTTCTCTGCTATTAAAAATGTGCACAGTGCTATCAAGGGAGATACAGGAGGCTTCCATCTATTAGAAAACAGAATAAAAACACCAACACAGCGAATACAAAGAGGTGAGATAGGAAATGGATGCAGCAGTATTTTATGTCTCTGCTAGTTCTTTTAAATGTTATAAATAGCTTCTACTTTAAACTTTTTTGTAGTTCATCTCTAAGTCCTTTTGATGATTTCAAAGGGTCTATAAAAGCTGGTTTTTAGTAACAACTTCAGGGTCACCTGTTGGGTTGGGGTTTTTTGGGGGGTGGTAGGTTTTTTTAGGATACATAACAAGTACTCAATGTCCAGTGTAGGTCTTTGTTCCAAATTTTCTAAAAGGCTATGCTTGCATGACTGCTTTGCAATCCCATTTTAACATCCTTCTCCTCCTGAATCACATTTGCAAATTCCTAAGAAACCATTCATATCTGACATTTAGGTCCAAGCTGTCTCTAGGTGCAGGTCAAGTTCAAGTCTGAACCATCACTTCAACTCTGCCTAACTCTGCTCTGTGTCCAAACCTTACTTATCTGATGATTCCACATGCACAACAGTCATACAAGTTTGAATATGCAATTTAAAGCCTTACTACCACTTAAGATGATTAATGAGCAATCAGCAGTAAAGGCCAGCTTACCCATGAAGTGTCACTTTTTACTTACTTCATAATGTATTCTCCCAAGCAGCTACTAAGGACAGTGCCTGTGGTGAGTAAGCATTTCTCAGGCAATGAAATAATCAGATCCCCTGCCTGCCTTTGAGGGAGAGAAGAAAAAACATAAACACAAAGAATAGTAAAGGTCAGTTGTACATGACTCACCTACTACATGACTTCTGAACAGAGAAACACTCCCCACAGAACACTAATATCAAGAAACAAAGAGAAGTGCTGTTGAACTTGATGAAAACTAGCATAGTTTAAAGACAGTCACAGTCCAGCAAAGGATGACACAGTCAGTAGGAACTGTCACCTGCAAAAAGATGTTCACAAGAAGTGTGTTACCTATCTACTGATTTTCTTTGTACTGAGATATATTTTAAAGTAGATCTCACAAACAGCTGTGCTTCTATCAACACAGCAGCATGGGGTAGGGGTATTATAGGTCATGTCTATCCTGACCTTGTTTGCCAAGCTGCTGTGTGTGTGTAAATTAGCTTTCATGCCTGGCTTGAGCTATGTATGTCCATGCCTGTAGAGGACATGAATCAAGTCAACACTCTCCCCTTCCAGTTTCTCTCCTGAGTTTCCATATCTTGCTCAAGCCCAGTTGAGTCTAGCTCTCATTTCATTTACAGTAGACTCACAGCATTGTGGATAAGCTAAGCCTCTGGCTTCAACAGCTAACTCTAGCCTTGACCCAGCATGATAACATACACTGTTCTCTACACGCACCTCCTTCCTACTTCCTGCTATACTCTAATTTGCAAAAGGTTCTGGTCTGATTCCCCATTATTTGATATACTGTTCTCATACATGTTAGGAAACTTCTCTAACAAGCCTATTTTCTGAGAGGCACTCTTAAGTCAACAGTTTGATCTTTCTGTGCCAGTACCTAAAGTGCAAAGTATTTTTTTCTATCATTCCCTTTTTCTGCTGGGAATATCTGAGAAATTATGTTTCTGTTAGTTGGTCTACTAACAAAGAAGACTCCAACAAAGTGAGGTTAAAGCTGTTGATTTACATTATGGCTAAAATAATCTAAAGATAAATGTTGTCTAAAGACCCCTCCCTTTCCTCCATCCCCCTCCCTGATATGCCATTCTTCCTTGTATCAGCACTAACTAAGATGGGAGACTTGAAGAATCAAAGCTAGTAATTATTTTTAAAAGGTTTCTATCTAGCTTGCAACCTACCACATGAGTGGGGAAGATCGCTACAGCAAGTGCAAAGGAAGCTGTGGGAGCCAGGGCTGAGGGAGAAGGCATAGAGGGAAGGGGCCAGCTCCTTCTGGTTTCAGTTAGCCACTGACTGCCTTAAACTGAAACATTAGACTACATACTAAATCTCTGTAAATGAGTACAGGAATATTTTCATCCAACAAGCACTCAGGGTACATAGGACATCATCCTACAGATATGCCAATACCGCAAATTCTGATACTAGGCCAGAAGTTACACTGACAACAGGGACTGTGAAGACCTTGTCCAGAATTTTGAGCTTTACTTGTTGCAAGTCATTACATCTCAAAAGAACCTAAGGAGCTCTTTCAATAGAATCAACATTACTAACCTGAAGAGCTTTTGTTGTCATCAGTCCTCTTCCTGTACCTGAAGCAGGAACAAAGAGAACTGCTTAAATGCATGTATATTTGTAAAATACAGGAGACTCTGATAACCTGCAATAAATTAACAGATCAGCAAGAAAAAGCTCTAAAAGAACATACATAACCTCTTACAAATCATAAAAGACAATTATGGGTTGTTCCAGATACATTTCTTTGTTCTCGGATTCTTTTTTCACCTTACAGAAGCCTGTGAACACTCCTTCCTTGCAACATTTACTGTCCAACTCTAGCAATTACTCAACTTCTTTTTCCCATTTTCTTCTTTAAACACATATTTCATCACTGGCTGCTGTCCTTGTTTTCAGAGTTTTAACTAAACTTTACAATTTCTATTCATAATATTTTTCTCCGATTCATCCTGTTATCTCTACTCTCTAATATTTCAAAAGTTTTTGAAACATAATCTACTTAAAGAGAAAAAATACAAGTATATACCTTCACTGTAAACAGTACTAAGTGAATCCCACCTCTAATATCATTTACTTATGTGTATCACCAGATCTGCTGAGTTCACATGGGGAAAAAAAGATGAAGAAATTATAACAGGGTCAGAGTCTGATACTGAAAATGCTTAAAGAGATATTATTTCTTCTTTGAAACTGTGCTACTAACACTTAAAAAAAAATCTTGATTTCTACAATGAATTCAGCATAGGTGAACATGTTTTGCAGTTTACCAGAGTATTTTCACACAAGAGTTTTACACAACTTTATCTTTCTACAAGAAACAGTTTACACTACTTCAGGCCTCCATATCTACTTGTTTATGCTAAATGACATTCACGTCCATTTGGAAGAAGTCCTCAAAAGACTAAAGGTAACTGGCATTTCTCCTTATGCCAGCCACATGTGTGATTCAAAATGAAAGCAGAAATCTAAGATTCTTAGAAGAATCGAAACTTTATTGCAACAATGAATAATTAAAACATTACCCCAGAACTCCGTTGGCCTTAAATTACTGTCTTCAAATCCTCTGTCTTTCAGCCACTTCTTAAGTTTAATGTATTCCAGCTTGTGACTGCAGTTGACTAAAAATAAAAAAAGATGAGACTCATGCTATTAAATAACACTTGCTTAGAAAAGAAAGGAAATTAAAAACTTTTACTGTATAGTCAGAAAAGCATTTTAACATAGTATAATGGATGGCCCATCCCTGGCAGTGTTCAAGGCCAGGCTGGATGGAGTTTTGAGCAAAATGTTCTACTGGAAGGTGTCTCTGCCCATTGCAGGGGGGTTGTAACTAGATGATCTTTAAGGTCCCTTTCAACCCTAACTATTCTATGATTCTATGATAACAGAATAGCAAGAAAGGCTCCCCTCAAACTAGCTTACTAACTTCAGTGCCCTTGGGCACTAGGAGTTCTTCGAACTGCAGGAGTTATACAGCATATTTAAGGGTCAAGGAATTTAAGAATAATGTAGTACTTGCCATTAGCCAGGAAAGAGAACTCACAATATTCTCATGCTCTTCTTGGGATTGTAAACTAGTGTTAGAATATTGGCATAGAAAAAGCTAACATTTATGCGTGTTATTTTTAAAGCACAAATGTCTGACAAATATATATCCTAAAATGACACATTGACAAACAATTGGTTATTTTATTATTCAACAGTACTTCTGGAGATAATACCTCCACCCAAAATCTGCAAGTGTTTTCTTCTTCTCTTTCGGCCTGTCCGACCTCTACTTTTCTTCATAATTAAGTAACAGATTTCACCTTTTTTAGACAACCTGAATGAAAAAGAAAAAAGTTACCTGCACATATGTAAAGTCCCCTTCAAATACTGCATGTTAATTTCAGTAAGACAAATCAGAACATTGCCTGCTTAATAAATTGCCTCTTTAAAGTTTAGAAAACATACTACAAGCAAGTCTCTAAACAAGGGTGGGTGATAGTTGAGGGAAGATGGGAAGCCTTTACCTTCAAACATCACTTTTGCCAAGACACATCCATAATCTTCTACAGGAAAAGAGACACTAGAGTTGATGTGCTCAGAACTAAAAGTTTTCTATCCTTGCATTACATTTGCTTTTTGAAAATTCACTGGCATAAGCAGCATTTACAGCTTGACAGCCTACAAGAAATCTGGAGAGGGACTTTTTCCATGGGCATGTAGTGACAGGACAAGGGGGAATGGCTTTAAACTGAAAAAGTGCAGAATTTGATTAAACATTTGGAAGTTCTTTACAGTGAGGATGGTGAGGCAGTGACATGGGTTGTCCAAATGAGCTGTGTGTGACAAACACATAAATGTATTGGCTTTCGCAAATCACAGGTGTGGTTATGTGGATATAACTGTACGAGTATACAAGAACAGAAACAAAGCTTGCTAAAGACACAAGATTAGACAACAAGTTAAAAAAGGCCAGAACTCTTGAGCAAAATGGAGTTACATAGCAAAAGAATTTGTAAAGGTAAAATATGGGGGGGGGGGGGGCGGCTTGATATAAGAAAAGCTAGTGCCTGAAAAACATAAAAGTACTTTTTAGCTTAACTTAGCTTTTAGAACGAGAACAATGTTTATGTTGTTAAGTCTGTGGAATGTAGCGGCCCCACTAAACATGACTTGTTTCCCACCAGTCTTCTAAAGTATCTTTAGTTTTAAAGAACAATGTTTGTGTTGTAAGTCTGTGGTGCGATAACAGGATTTAGTGGCCCCACTAAACATGAATGAGTTATTTCACACCATCCTTCTGCTTACCAGTTAATTTAGAGGCAGAGCCTCCCAAACATCTGCTAGCTTTGGATACTCCTTGTCTGCCCATCCTGCAACAAATTTTGCAGGAAGGTCACACTGTTTTAAAATCTTTGCTAGTTACCAGAAGAGTTACAGACATGGCTGGTTTCAGCTAGTTGTGCGATTACTGGGGGGTCCAACCGTGCCAAAGGTGAAAAGTACACCGTCAGGAAGACTGCTTACTTCATCCTAAAGACCCATACTTAGAAGAAGAAGGCTGCTTACTTCATCCTCAAGACCCCTGCCCACAATCACCGGAGAGCAGTGCGCAGAAGCCAAGAGGAGGGGACTTATGATAATAAGTTCCAGGAGTTAGTTATAATATTCCCCGCCTATATGCGGGAATTATGAATATGTATGTAACTAATGCAATGCTGAAAGTATATAAACCTGTAACAAATGCTAATCGCTCCCGCCTCTGGCTACAGTCATGCGCCCAGCGCTGTTGCTTTTGCTTTATTGACTTTGTCCCTCAAAAAAAACTTGTTATCTCATTTAGAGGAGTGAGCTCATTATTTCACACTGTGGATGCCCCGTGCCTGTAAGTGTTTAAGGCCAGGATGGACAAAGCTTTAAGCAGCGTGGTCTAGTGGAAGGTGTCCGTGCCCATGGAAGGGGGGGTTGTAACAACGTATTTTTAAGGTCCCTTCCAACCCAAATCATCCTATGATTTATTTATTTGGATAACAATAAAAGCAAAATGGAGCTCCCTGACCACATGCGCTGCAGGAAAGAGTCTTACCCCACATCAACACCACCAAACACCCCAGTTCCATACAGCACCACGACACTACACCCCAACACCTCCAGCACGTGTTATAGATGAACACCATGAGCCTGGCTCTTTACGCTTCAATCTGTTGCTGAAACGTACATTTAAGTTCCCCTCATCAATACTGCTTTTAGCTGAACCCCACACGCTGAGGCGCTGAGACTAGGAGTGCTGCCCCTCACCGGGATCATCAGCCGGCACATAGGTTCCGGCGGCCAAGGCCCACCTTCCCCTGCTACCGGCACACTGGAGGACACCTACAGCGGCTTCGACTCCCGACTCCCGACTCCCGACTCCCGACTCCCGACTCCCGACTCCCGACTCCCGACTCCCTCCCGGGCTAGAACAGCGACGGGGCAGAGAACAAAGGTGGACACGCGACACGCTGCCCACCGCCCCCAGTCCCCCGCTCGCCGCCGGCCCACCTGCTGTAGAGAACGCAGGAACCACCTCCTTACCGTTGCCCGCCACCGCCGCACCGCCCTGACCCTACCCAACCGGGCCCGATCGCGGGAGGCGGGGTTGCCCCGCCGCCATTTTAACTGCGGTTAACGCGGTGTGCGAGTGCTTGCTGACGACTCGTTCTTCCGCTGCGGCGCAGAGCTGAGGAGCAAGGGGGAAGGCGGTGTACTGGAGGTGGGTGAGGCAGTGTCGGCTGCCCCGCCGGGCCTGCTCCGCAGCTCCTCGCTGCGTTCAGCCCCTTTGCGGGGCGCGGAACGGCCGGGGTCTTTCCCGTCCCGCGGAGAGCCGCCTGAGGAGCCGGGCTTCATCGGGGCTGTCGGGTGTGCTTTGCGTTCGCGTTAGGGGGAAAAACCGGTCCTGAGGAAGGGGCAGCGAGGGAAAAGAGCCCGTTCGCAGTGCGAGTGTGAAGCGGGAAGGTGGTTTCTCGTCCTGGTGCAGTCAGTCGGTAGCTGGCCAGGAGCTGGTTCGTATTTCGTTGGATGCCTACTACTAATAGTTACAAGTTAATTTGGAAGGAAGGTAGTAATTAGGTCAAAACTGAGCAAACCCAGTATTTAAAGCTTTTATGGGGGAAGTACGTCTTCTTTAAATGTGCTACTTCTAGGAGGGAAAAAGAAAGGGCAAGCAGACTTTGTACCTGGAGTTGTCTAATGTGTTGAACATAATATTTGTAGTCAGTCTGTGGTCCTCTGTTTCTCTGAAACACCAGAATTGGTTCTCCTGCCTGACACTTGAAGATCAAACCATTCCCCCCTGTATTTGAGCCTGGGTTTTTCAGCTTCGGCTGCATCACTGCTTGAACTGAACCAGCTGAATATCCTCAGAAGGAAATGGTGTTGCTGTAAAGTGTATGTGCAGGAGAGTTTACTCCCATCAAAAGTTAACTTAGTACTGCGGGTCAGTCATTGACTTTTTGCTTTTTATTAACCCAATTCCTGATTGGGCCTGTCTTCAAAATGCTAAAGCCAGAAGTGGCTTTCTCATGCTACTTTAGTATGCTAGTGTGCACTCTAATGTAGTTTCACATAAATCAAAGGGTAATTCTATATAAAAATTTACAGAAAAAATACTTTCTTCCATTTTCAGATAACCATCTTTGTCCATCTGAATGTGAAATTTTCTTCTTTGCTATTTGCAGTTATTGTCACTTTGACATACATTCAGAGAGGAGCTATGTCCAGTGTACCAGTGGCTGTGGTGACCGGATCCAACAAAGGGATCGGATTCTCAATTGTTCGGGCTCTATGCCACCAGTTCCCAGGGGACGTGTATTTGACAGCCCGAGACCCCGGCCGTGGCCAGGAAGCAGTGAAAAAGCTCCAGGAGGAAGGACTGCGTACGCTCTTCCATCAGCTGGATATTGATGATCTGCAGAGCATCAGAGCTTTCCGTGACTTCTTAAAGGAGAAATATGGAGGGCTGGATGTGCTGGTCAACAATGCAGGGATCGCTTTCAAAGGTAAGGAAGCATACTGTCTGGGATAGTACAATGTGCTGCAAAGCTATGTGAAGTATAGTAGATTCATAAGGCATTTTACAAAGCTTATTATATGGGACTTCTGTGCCAGTGGCATGCTACTTTTTTGGCTGGGCAAGCTGCCTACCTTCTTAAGCATGCTGAGAGAGTAATGTGAAATAGCTTTTCCTATGGATCTGTTAAACCTAAACTTTGCTGTGCTGAGCGAGAATGTAACCCTTTCATCTTCTATTAAACAGGAAGGGAGGGAAAGTGAGAAAGACACAACAGTTGTAAGGTAGAAGAGTGCATTATCCTTGTATATGTTTATGAGAACAAGTTGAGAGTTAACTCCAGATAGAGCCGATCACAAGCGTGACTACTAGTTCATTTCCCTACTAGTACAAACTTGTTCTTTCCATATTTTCTGGTTTGTTTGGATTTTTTGGGTTTGCTTTTCAAATCTCCAGTTAGGACATATAACAGGTAAATATGTAAAATAGTGTGAGCAGTGGTGTTTCTGTTAGTTCCTTTACTACATCATGGATTTTTCTATTCATAAGTACCTTCTAGATGTTTAGCCTAGACTTTCTTCAAGCTGACAGCTCACTATGAGTCAGCAGTAGGTCATACAACTGACATCTTTATTACATTTCTTAATCGTAACTGTTGTGTAAGCATCTAGCACAAAGGCTAGAGGGTTTAACACCTGTGTGTTAAAGTTCTTACTTGCTGTGATGGTTATCTCATTTTGGTTTTAATTCTAGCTTCTGAGATTGGCTTTTCTATGCAAGCCTCACAAAGTTTCTGCTATCATCCCAGAATTTATGCTTTCCTTTCTTTATTGTAGCATTATGTGTTATTGCTGGCTGTCAAAGATTGGATTCCATTACATTTATTGTCTGGTTCTGTGCTGTGCTACAGATAGTCCAGCAAAAACTGTTCATGTACGAGATGATTATGTACATATGAGTTGTGTTCTGGATAAGCTTCTGTGAGAACAGTTACTGTAGAAATGTTTGTTAAATCAGGGGAGTATTTATTAGATGTTACAAGCAATGTATCTTGTTAGACAAATGAGTAGGTTTTGGAATGTAGGGAAGCTTTTTGTCTTCTTCCAAGGTGGATTGAGAAGAAGTTTGAAATTGTGTAGGTTTTTAGTTTCTTCTCCCACTGTTGTTAACTCTTGCAATAGGTCATGATCTGGCATCATGTCACAGATTTAAATTCAAGTGATTTGCAAAACTTGATGCCATCAGTGCCCACTGCTTGAGAGTATGAATGACTGAGTTATTAAAGCACACTCATGTGTTTTGCAATAAAACCACAACTGTTAAGTACTAAATGATGTGTCACTGCTTTTCTGAGTTAACATAGGTCTGGGCTATGAAGACAAGTGAAGACCTGCCTAATCTGTGTGGGTGGCCTTCCTGTTGCCAGAAAGAGAGCAGTGTAACAGAAGAGGAGGAATGCTGTTACTTTAACTCTTACTTCCCCCTCAAAGTGGAAAATGCATATGTCTTACTGCTAAACCAGGTTGTCAGCTGATGGCACATACTACTACACTTTTGGTGGTGGCAAGCTGTCAATTCTGTCTGATGAAATCATATCCTTACCGTGCAGTTCTATATCTGCTTATGCTTACGTAAGTCAGCTCCCTTTCCTAGCTGCTAATTCCCACTCCTTTTGTTGTATTAGCACAGATCTGCCAGTTCAGGGAATGGTTTATGACATGACTATCAGTTTTGGGATTGGTTGGGGTTTTTTTGTTTGGGTTTTGATTTGGGGTGATTGGTTTTGG